TGTGTGTGTGTGTGTGTGTGTGTGTGTGTGTGTGTGTGTGTGTGTGTGTGTGTGTGTGTGTGTGTGTGTGTGTGTGTGTGTGTGTGTCTCACATCAAAGCTTCAGAAAAAACAGAAAAAAAGAAATACTCAGATCTTAAACCTCGATTAAAGGTAGTAAAAACTGTCAGTTAACAATCCTCCATTCAAAAAGTTACTTTGATAAAAACTCAGGATAACGTATGTATTTGGATTACAAATAAAAATGCACAAACTAAATAATCACTTTGATGCTGCAGCTGCTAAAGGCAGAGCTAATTTTATAAACTTTATAAACTTATGACTAGCTTGTAAATCTCTCCCTGTGGATTCAGAAAGTCTAAGGGCGCGGTCACACTGGCCATCTGTACCGTGCTGTACTCAAGCACGATTGCCCCTCCGCTGTGCCATTCCCACGCTGGCCGGCACGGCCCGCGGTCACACTGGCCAGGACTAACCGTGCCTAAAAGCACGATTACCTCTTGTACATAACGCCATAATACAACACATGCACGCTTTATGTTAAGTGAAGTGGCTAATTAGCAATCAGATTTCAGGGAGGCCCATGGCCACCTCAGCCCATCCCCTGAATGTATGAGAACGTCAAGATTTTGTAATGAGTGATTCTGACAAAATAGTTCCCTTTAAAAATAACCAGAAACTATCCATACCTCGACTTAGACTTCATAGTTAGGCGTGTAGCTGAGATGTAGCATCTCCAAGATGTCAGTATTAACTGCCTTTTTATTTGTAATCCAAATACATACGTTATCCTGAAAAAGGCCATTCAGCATAACAAGTTTTTATCAAAGTAACTTTTTGAATGGAGGATTGTTAACTGACAGTTTTTGCTACCTTTAATCGAGGTTTAAGATCTGAGTATTTCTTTTTTCCTGTTTTTTCTGAAGCTTTGATGTGAGAACAAGTCGAGGAAAGAAATATTAAGTAGTGCACGAGGGCAACCATAGAGAGAGGGAGAAAAGGAATGAAAGAGCTACTGAAACAACAAGTGAAACCATAGAAGAAAGAGGTTGTGTGTGTGTGTGTGTGTGTGTGTGTGTGTGTGTGTGTGTGTGTGTGTGTGTGTGTGTGTGTGTGTGTGTGTGTGTGTGTGTGTGTGTGTGTGTGTGTGTGTGTGTGTGTGTGTGTGTGTGTGTGTGTGTGTGTGTGTGTGTGTGTGTGTGCATGCGTGTGTGTGTAATAGCTGAATTGAGCAGCAGTGGAGTAGGAGGAGAGGACAAGTGTGGAACAAAGTGTGCGTGTGAGCATGTTGATAAAAAATCAATCCCAGATTGTGAATTTCTCAGGCTGTACAGACCGATCTGCCAAACGACAACACACACACACACACACACACACACACACACACACACACTGAGAAAATAAACATGATTATTCAATCATTAGTTCACATTTTGTGAACATGAATGTCTTAACAGGACAAAATCTAACGTTATGTAACCGGGATGCTGATAACTTGAACCATCCAAACACTGCAAAATGGCACTGAAGAAGCTTTTAGCCTCAACAGCCTCGGACCAATCAAGCCCCTGATTTTAATAATCATGACAAGATTTGATAAAGAGACTTATTTTGGATGATCAAACGTTCTGGATTACTATGAAGGATTGCTGTGATGATGACTGGAAGGTATAGGGCATGGCATCATCAGATACTATTTGTTAGGCAGTGTCCAGGGTTTCCTTTCAGTTTTACTCCTACAGGTTTTAAGGCTTTGTTGAATTCCCCCTTTGAGATTCCTTTAAAGAAAATCAAAACCAGGACAGCAAATCAGGAGTGAGTCTTCAATTAGAAATGTGAGGAACAAGAGTAAAGAGATCCGACAGAGGATGACGAAGTCCTCTCTTCTGAGCTGTCGTTTGAAGAAAGCTCCTTGATAAGATCGTTTGTATCAGCACTTGAGCATGTCGCCTCCGCGCTCTGTAAAAAAAACAAACAAAAGCAGGTCTTTGGAGGGAGGGAGGGAGGGGGAGAGAGAGAGAGAGAGAGAGAAAAGAGAGAGAGAGAGAGAGAGAGAGAGAGAGGTGTTTCTTCATCAGGTGTCTTGTTATTATGAAGCAACATCACAGGTTTAACATGCGTTTTATGATTCACCAGTTTGATTCCAGTACATGGAGCACCGATCAATGGGCCTAATGGGAGTCCTGTTGTGTATAAGGATGAAAGCAAACACACACACACACACACACACACACACAGCACACACACACAGATCTGCTGTTCAAGTTTGCTAAAATAGTGTTGAAATCAAAGGTTTCATCTCAAAAAGCATCGAACGCTCAGGGATCTGTCACAACTCACAAACACACACAAACTTTTGAAATCTGCCATCTGTGTGTGTGTGTGTGTGTGTGTGTGTGTGTGTGTGTGTGTGTGTGTGTGTGTGTGTGTGTGTGTGTGTGTGTGTGTGTGTGTGTGTGTGTGTGTGTGTGTGTGTGTGTGTGTGTGTGTGTGTGTGTGTGTGTGTGTGTGTGTGTGCGTGCGATGCTCAGGGTGCAGCAGAGGAGAGGGCCATTACACACTCAGCCTGTGGGAGGGTATATTTAGGAACTGTGGGCTTTTTATACACTTACACACTTTTTCGGAGGAGACCGGTTTGACCCTGAGAGGATGGCGAGTGCTGGCTGCCATGGCAACTGTTGGACGGATGCATGAGTATGTGTTGGTACTTGTGTCTGTGTGTGTGTGTGTATAAAAAAGGCAGCATTTACTGTGTATAACTGTGGAACTCCTCCTCTTTTATTGATTTTTGACTGGGACTCAGAAGAATGTATCCGTCCTCTTCCTGTATCGGAAATAAAATGTAGGTTATCAACATCTCCCGCTTTTTAACGGGTCTAATTCTAATTCTAATTCTCTTTTGGTCTTGATAAGTCGTCTCTTCATCCCTAGCTTGTCCAGAATGCGGCTGCACGTCTGCTGACAGGGAAGAGGCGCCCTGATCATGTCCCAGCATTTTGTCATCTTATTAAGCCCCTATTTTATGTTTTGATTGTGTAACTTTTGTAGGCCTACGTGGTCATAACGAGGTCTTGGGGAGCTGAGGCGTCGATTGTCAGCTTAAACGGCATGCTAGGCTACATCCAACTCTGCTCTTTCTTAAAGCTACGGATCGCCTTTTCTCAGGTTATGACAACAACAGGCCAAAGTTACAACCACGCAGCTTCTTTTACATTTTCGTTCCCTCACTTTAAAAAACCCCCAAGAACTCTTCATATTTTTCCATCAGCAAAGCAAAACTCTTACCATGTTACCATAGTAACCAGGCCAAACATGAAAACAAAAGCACCTGTCTGACGTTCGAAGCCAGGACAGGCTTGGATTACAATTTTTAATGGCATACTTTTCAAGAGGTATGTTTTGAATTTGGAAGCTGCTAGCTAAATAAGAGCCTTTAAGTAATCATGCAAAACATTGTCCAAGTAGTCAGTTAATTGTTTCAAGAATTGGTGACTAGTCGACTGTCAAAATATTCTTTAGTTGCAGCCCTTTGATGAAATTCCTCAAATATTAGAACTCCTTTAAAATGCAGCTCTCTTCTTAGAAACAGCCTGCCTGACTCCACTATGAATACACCAAAAACAGTCAATGTAGTCGTCTTAATAACAAGTCTTTAAGAAAAATATAAATTACAAACCAAGGCCATCTGTGTCTTTTATGACCTATAAATGAGAACAGACTCAGACTGAAGCCCACACAGTCTGTCTGCTCCTCAGTGAACGCTCAGCTCACCTGTCAATCACTCGAAGGCTGCACCCAGAAAAGAACACACACACAGGGTCACGATTTCTTAAATGGTGTGACATTTGCTGAGTCAGCACTACACTGTGTGTGTGTGTGTGTGTGTGTGTGTGTGTGTGTGTGTGTGTGTGTGTGTGTGTGTGTGTGTGTGTGTGTGTGTGTGTGTGTGTGTGTGTGTGTGTGTGTGTGTGTGTGTGTGTGTGTGTGTGTGTGTGTGTGTGTGTGTGTGTGTGTGTGGCCTTTGTAAACAGAGAAGCTGGTTAGATATTTGCTAGTCTGCTTGTTTCTTGCTCTTTCAGTGTTTTCGTTTTTTGCAGTTTGGGGTTGTAACCCCTCGTCTAAATTTAAAACACATGACCACACCACGTACGTTAGGACTCCACCACACACTACATGTAAGTTAATAACACAGGAGAGCTCTACACACACACACACACACACACACACACACACACACACACACACGACTTAACACAGCTCTCACAGCCTACGATTATAGTGGGAACACAGGATGTAATTATCAGGCACGTGTGTGAGTGTTTAAATATCACTTGAAGCCTCTGTGTGTGTGTGTGTGTGTGTGTGTGTGTGTGTGTGTGTGTGTGTGTGTGTGTGTGTGTGTGTGTGTGTGTGTGTGTGTGTGTGTGTGTGTGTGTGTGTGTGTGTGTGTGTGTGTGTGTGTGTGTGTGTGTGTGTGTGTGTGTGTGTGTGTGTGTGCGCGCGCGTAAACATAAGCACCAGAGTCACAGAGCGGGTCGCTGTTTTGCCTCGCTCATAGTGAGTGTCGCCATGGCAACGGCACTAGCAGCACAGTGTGAAGTGGAGGAAGAGCTTGCGCTGCTCAGCGTGATGGAGAAAGAAAACGAGAGAGAGGAAGAGAGAGAGAGAGAGAGAGAGAGAGAGGTGTTTCACATGAACACACAGCATTGGTCAGGTCGGCGGATGATGTCATGAATTTAATGGATGTTAAAATCAGGCTTTTGTGTTTTTAACCTTTAATCGTTGTCACTAAACACATATTGTGTAATGTTTTCCTGCGTGTCTGAGTCTGTCTGTGTGTTTAAGTGTTTAAGCCCATCAGTTCAGGGTCACAAGAGTTAATGATCACACTGAAACTCAGGAAGAGCAGAGAGAGAGAGAGAGAGAGAGAGAGAGAGAGAGCAGTGTGTGTGTCATACTGAGCATGCTCTTTGTGTTAACTTCCTGCTCTCTTCCTGACAGAAAAGAGCGTTCAGAGAGACCCGGCGTTCAACAAGAAGGAGACGGAGGCGAGCAGAGGAGACGCTCTGAATGCAGCTGAAGAGGATCAATCCACACTGAGGAATAAAAGACACTGCGCTGTGGATTTCTCCTTTTTTTTTCTACAAGGAGGATTGACATTAACGGTAACAGTAATGTGTGACCTCCACATCTGCCTGGTAGAAGACAGACTTTGTAGTTTTTCTTCTTTTTGAACCTTTTGACCGTTGAGTTTTAGAGGAACTCTGACGGGAACTCTTTTCCTTTTGAACTTTCACAATCGCTTTTTTTTTTCTCTCTGTTTTTTCCCCTTTCTGTTATCTCCCCGTGTCGCTTCGAGATAACGTTTTTGTGACTCTGAAAAGGAAGCAGAGGAGCTGACTCACTCAAGTTTCTCTAACAGGAACTTGAGAAGCTTTTTCATTCTACTTTTGGCTTTCACAAGGGGACAAATCCTCTCTTGTGTGTGTGTGTGTGTGTGTGACAGAGTGTGTGTTTGTGTAGCCGAGTGTCCCTGTGAGATACATTATCGTGAATCAGGGGACAGTTAGCCGACTGTTTTGTGTCCTCCGGGAAAAAAATGGGATCAGAAAAGGACTCAGAGTCGCCTCACTCCTCGGTGAGCGGCGTCCCAAACCCTAAGTGCCGAGCGGCCGGCAAGCGCCAGGGCCGCATCTCCTTTCACAGCCTGTTCCACAGCAAACGAGGCTCCCGGGGCGCCAAGGGCCCCAAAGGAGGAGTGGCCCCCCCTTTGACCCATCATCTCCACACACAACAACAGCTTCTCCCCTCTGCCTTGAGCTCAGCGTCCGCCGCAGCCGCAGCCGCAGCCACGCCAACGACAACCACCACCACAGCCGCGACGACCCCGCAGGATGCCGGCAACAGCACCCCGTCAAAGCCACTGTCCTCCAGCCAGCCGTCCCTGGGCGGAGCCCCTGCTGCTGGCGAGAACAACCTCCTGGAGTGCCCCCTGTGCCTGGTGCGCCAGCCCGCCGAACAGCTCCCCGAGCTGCTGGGCTGCAGCCACCGCTCCTGCCTCTGCTGCCTGCGACAGTACCTCCGCATCGAGATCACAGAGAGCCGAGTCCAGCTCAGCTGCCCAGAGTGCGCCGAGAGACTCGCCCCGCAACAGGTGGCGGACATCTTGGATGATGCGGCGCTGCTGGAAAAGTACGAGGAGTTCCTGCTGCGGAGGTGCCTCGCATCCGATCCAGATTGTCGATGGTGCCCAGCGCCGGACTGCGGGTAAGAAACTGCACATGATGATTCTTCTTACTGCTGAACTGCATGTTAAAGTGCTGAGCTTTAATCATCAGCTGGCTTGTTTGTGCTCGTTTTTAGATTTCCTTTTGTTTTTGAGATAATTCTGTATTTTGTAATTCTGCTGCCCAAGGCTACTAAAACCAACAAGGCCTTTTGCAATCTCTCCGACTAATATTCTTGTTGCTAGGTGTTGGGTTGCATCTGATATTTTTGATCAAGCATTTCAAGGTCATTTAAGTATTTAACACAAGCTTTGAAAACCCCAAACTCACATTTCATCAACAAGGAAGTCATAAGGCTCCGAAACCCAAAAGAAAAACTAACACAATAGAGTTCAAAGCGTCTTTAAGCAAACAACCTTCACACTGAGATCATGTTCCGTCTGAACGAGAGTTAATGAATGTTTTGGAGGAGGCGAGCGTAAACTTAAAAGTTGTTTGTCTTGGCTCTTCTGCACCACTTTCATCTTTGTTTGTTTCCATCTCAGCTTCCTGTGATTCTGTATCAAGTCGTCCAATCAGAGTTCAGGCTGGTAATTTCCTCCAGATCCACTTTTTAAAGATTATGGTGTAAATTGTCTTTAGGTCCTGACAGAAATGAATAACTCATGTTCTCTGAATAAGGAACAAAGAAAATCTGTCCTCTGTAGCAGTTTGTAAGCCTGTAAAAACTTCCACCAATGTCTGCCACGAGGTACCAATCTGATGAACCAATCACAAGCCTCTCATGAGACATGAGACGACGTAGTTTCTACACAAGAGATGAGCTGAGGTCCACTTCTGGAGCGACGGCGCCCGCGCATGTTAGTGAGGGGGGCGGGGCTTTAGAGGGAATGCTACTTTCAAAATCAAGCTAGTTTAAAAAAAAAAAAAGACTTTAAGGTGATGAATGAAAACAAACAACCCAAGAGTATTTCTCGCTAAAGAATTTGTCTGGATGCTTTCGCTGAAATCTACCGTCCTGCTCTTTTTGATTCAGGTCGTGTAGCTGTGTGAAAAACAGAAACCGAAAGATTTTAAGCCACACAAAAAGTGAAAGTTGTTGCAAAGCTTTCAGGTACTTTGAATGTTCTGACACAGACGGTTGATGTTGGCGGTAGTTTGGTTTTGTGATGTGTGATTTATATCGGGATTAAAGCGGAGACAGAATCAGCTTTGACACAAAGAAGGCATCGCTTGTTAGCTTAGTGCGAGCTTAGCTTCTGAGATGATGGATGTTAAATCTTCATAATCAGGCCGATGTAATCGTCTCTACTGTTTTCTGTTGTTCCTCCTTTCTCTTTCATTTGCTTTCTGGTCATTTCCTCGTTCTTTCTGCTGTAATTCCCCTGATTCAGTTGAACGCCGTTGCTTCATATTCCACTGTAATGACGGCCTTCCTTTGTTAGACACAACAGGGACCAGCCTGTTAGAGAGAGAACGACGAGGTGTGAAAGTTGAATTTGAAAGTGGAGGTCACAGAGAGGGAAACTGTAAGTGGGTTAGAGACGTGGAAAGTCGGCCCTGCGGTCGGAGGAGGGGAGGGTCCGATGAGGTTTGGAGGTGCAGCTGCTCTGGTTGGGTTTTTCTGGAACAAATGAGAGGCGTTTGTTTTATCATAGGAGGCAGGAGTGATTCATTGTGTTTGTGTTGCTGTGTGTGTTTGTGTTGCTGTGTGTGTTTGTGTTGCTGTGTGTGTTTGTGTGTGTGTGTGTGTGTGTGTGTGTGTGGGAAGGAGGAACCCAGATTTCAGTAATATTTTTCTGCTGCGGTTTGGTTACAGGTACTGTTACAGGGGAAGGCCAGGGAGTCTGTGTGGTAACTTTGCATAAATCTGTATTTCTAAGTGTTGATCTGTCTGCATTTGTTTCCGTTTCTCTGTTGCTACGTGTCTTATCGCTTCACAAAGCACGCACACTTCCGAGGTTTTCTTCATTTTTAGTTGATGCAACAGCTTCCCAAAATGAAAGCAGTAAATGTCCTCATAGCAGGCTTTAAATTATGACAAGCACAATAATTTGCACAAAGTTTACCACCTGTAGAGTTTGCAAAAGTGTTACAAAGATTCTTGAGTTTTTGATTAATTTCAGTTAATTTCACATGAAAACACGAATTCAAGAAGCTGGTTTAGTTCACAACACTGCAGCTTTTTGCTGATTGTCATGTTTAGCTGGTGTAAGCTGAAGTTGCCCACATTTCTGATACTTCAATTCTTTAGTATACCACATGTTTACAATCCAAACACTGATTTATTGATGACCAAAAGAGAGAACAGGAGCACTTCTGGTATCCCTCAAACCACCGGTGCTCATGGAGGAAAACTTAAGACCATAAAACATCGTTGTAAATAATCCAGGTCCAGGCACTCAGGGAGGCCTTTAATTCATAGGGCTACAAACATTAAAATACACAGGATGACTTATACCGATGTTTTTTGGTCTTACGTTTTCCTCCGCTGATTGATAGATATTAGATGTTTTTGTGATGGATAGTATTGGAAAGTACAGAAGCTTTAAATTATCTCCAGACCTTCAGTCATAGTTTAAACCAGAAGCTGCTGTAAGAAAGAGAGCGCTCTGTCTAAATTTGCAAAAATGCAACGGCAACACTTTGGTACTTAAACGTTGCGCAAATAAGTAGCTAATGTATTTCTGTAATTTAGAAAGTGTGCAGAAGTTTTCTTTCAATTTTTGGTGATTAAAAGCAAAAAGATGATGTGGCGGCCTCGTGTTTTTTTTTGGTTAGCTGAATGCTGACACACAATGGAACAGTGGTGAGTTAAACATGGTTCCTGTGTAACCATCTGTCGTTTGTTAGCATGTCTTCAGTATGTTACACTACAGGTGCTTCACAGGACACTAACTCCTTCTTTTTTGGATCTTTATTTAGATCAGATCGTATAGATAGGGCGGGGGAGAGAGTGGAGAATCAAATGTGGCAAAAGGAGCAGCAGGTTGGACTTGGACCAACACCTGTTGGTTTGGCTTTTGCCTGAGGGGCATCCAAAACAGCCATGTGGGGGTGCCTTGAAACCGCCTACCTTCTCCGGTCTAAACAAATCCAGAGCATTCAACATAGCATGTTTCCTTAATGTCTGATCATATAGTAAGATCACTTTATCATTTCAGTCAGGAGATATCTTACTGATTGGACCCTTAAAAGATAAACACAGAGTCAGTCTATATTAGCTCAGAGGTTCATAGTTCTAAAGCAGTCGAGTAATTAGAAGTTAATTGCTTTCTGGAGATGACTCCAGAACAGCCCAGATGTTGCTTACACATCACAGCTAAACATCTGGCAATCATGAATAACTTGCCGTCACATTTGAAAGAAAATACTATTTGTACCCTCTGAATGTGCGTCAAACATATTTTCTTTGAGATTTCATTCGGCCCGTTTAAGTTTCAAAAGTGTTTGGTGTTTTTTTTCCTCCAAACAACGTGACCTCTGAGTCACAGTGAGCATCCATTTCTGTTTTTATAGTTTCTCCTTTTAGTAAGAGTGTGTTCAGCTGAAGACTGAGCCCGAGAATAAAAGTGAGAGGGATAGTTTTCACTCCCAGTGGAGAGGAAAATCAACATCTAGAGGGGTGTTTAACTTCTGTTCAAACTCTTATTCTAGAAGTCGTACATGTGTTTATATCCCTGTGTGACTTTTCTCTCTCTGTCTTAAAGGGACAGCACGATCAGGGTGAGCACAGTCTGGCCAAACCTCGCTGACAAAAAGAAGGATTTTAGG